GGGGTGTGTGTGTGTGTGTGTGTGTGTGAGACGTGAGGGGTGTGTTTTGCTGAAGCGGCAGTTATTCTGTGGCACGGTGTCCTCCTTTCCTAAAAATAGGTGTCATGGAGTCATAAGGCCACGTCTGCAATGAATCACAGTCCATCAGCTCTGTTCCAGCAATGTTCCCTATGAACACAGCACGAGTGTGAACGCACACTTCTAAAGGTGCAACTACAATTAAAAAAAAGTGTGTGTAATATATATATATATTTATATATATATATATGAATTGAGAAATCCAATTTCCCTTGATCTTGTGATATAAGAGCTCATTGTACTATAAAAACATCCTGTAAGTTTCAGAACTCAAAACTTTCTCTTTAGTCTAAAAACGGTTTATATTGAAGCCGATCTGCCAAAACAACAGGTTGAGGAATGTGCCGCTCTATGACGTAATAGTGTGGCTAAACCCCACCTCTGCAGAAGATGATCAACGCCTGCTTCTACATCACTGCCTGTTTAGCCCCGTCCACCGATTCTGCATCACTGTTTGTTTAGCCCCGCCCACCGATTCTACATCACTGCCTGTTTGGCCCGCCCACCGATTCTACATCACTGCCTGTTTAGCCCCGCCCACCGATTCTACATCACTGCCTGTTTAGCCCCGCCCACTGATTCTACATCACTGCCTGTTTAGCCCCGCCCACCAATTCTACATCACTGCATGTTTAGCTCCGCCCACTGATTCACGCCTGTACTAGTGTAAATAACGAGAGAGGCACACGCAGGGCTACACAGAAATCAAATGATAAAGATGCTCCGAAGACAACAAGACGCTGTTCAGAGCCAAGCTGTGGAAAAACAGTCTTTGCATCGCCTTCCTTCTGATCCCAACATTAAGAAAGAGTGGATGAACTTCTAGATCGCTTCAATATGGACCTCGTCATTTGTTCGCTTCGTTTTTAACGTGGATTCATTTAAAAAAAATAAGAAACATCTGAAAAATTTAATATTTTTGTTGAATACATTTAAAAAAATAAAAATAATAACTTTTTTACACAAGATTTAATTTTACATTGAGCAAGCTTCTAAATAAAAATTAAGTAAAAGCTGTCCTTAAAATAGAAAAATATTTTCAGAAAATAGAGAAAAGTAAAGAGATTTATAAAACAAAATGCATACATAAGAGAATAAAATAAAGTAAAAGATAACCTAAAAATATTTTTACAAATGTTTGTCATGTTTAGAAGTTTAAAAGCGGGAAATTGATTTAAAGTTCACTTTTTTTATTGACTTAAAGGTGGCTTAGTGTTAGTTAGAGAAATAACTAATGGTTTCTGTGTATTTGAGAATATATTTTATTCAGCACATGAAGGCATGAAATGTTAGGGTGAGGTGGACATGAAATGTCGTGGCACGTTCCTCACGCTCCGAGCGTTTGGGAGTCTCTTCTAGAGACGGGCGGCGAGGTACAGCATGTCCTTTAGTGCAGACAGCAATGCATGCTGGGAAACTGCAGAGCTAGTGTCTCACAGTGGAGCGGGAGGGAGAAGGAGATGCTGAAGAATGCTGTGTCACTGGTGCCGCTGCGAATCCTCTCTCTCTCTCTCTCTCTCTCTCTCTGTGTGTGCCAGTGTCTCTCGCCCGTCGTGACTGAAGTGCGCTGATGCACCCCCCCACTGCAGCCATGCAGCATCGCAGCACTTCAACAGACAAAACTCACAGTGAAGGATACATTAACCTGATGAGCACGTGATTCATGTTGCTAGTTTTGTTTTATTATGTATGTTTCCTTTTGTGTGTATAGCAATTGTGTGCTAGTGATGGGAATCTTAAGCTGGTCTTAATCTTAAGGCCCGTTCACATCAAGGACGATAACTATAAAGATAACGATAAAGATATAGTTCTAAAAATCGATATTAAAGAATAGCAGAGTCCACACCACAGCTATAACGATAAAGGCACAGAGAAACGATATTGTTGGAATCACTTTCAAAATGATTTTTCTCCAGCTGATGAACGATAAAAAATTGATTGCCAATCAGAATCAAACATGCTGTAACGAGCTGGAGAATTTAAAGCGGCAGACGTGCATGCGCTTAGAATAAACAGACGATACCGTTCGCTGGTGTGGACGCTAATATCGTTATCGTTATCGTTATCGTTCTTGGTGTGAACGGGGCTTTAAGCTTATTCTGGTGTCACGTTCGTAGCATATGTATATCTAACTACATAAAGTGTTTTTAAATCTGAATAATTGAGGAAATAATCAACAGATTAATTTATCTAAATACTAAATAAAATATTAATATTAAAAATAGATTTATGTGTGTGTATGTGTGTATATATATATATATATATACACACTTTTTTTAAATAAAAAAATATATAAATAGTTTTTATGTATATATTTTATTTAATTTGTTAAAGTTTTAGTAATTGTTGCGTTTGTCATTTTTAGTAGGCTTTGTTATTTTTTATGTCTGTAGTTTTTATTCATTTTTATTTTGAGTCCGTTTTTATTTTTATATTTTTTGTTTTTATTTTATTAGTTAAATATTTTTTTTTATATATTAAGACACGTGGACGTGGAATGAGTAGGAATCAGTCCCATTTTAGTATCATTACTAATAGTTTTTATTAATATTTTGAATCAAGTTTTTATATTTTGTTTTCGTTTCAGTTTGAATGATTTAGTAATTTTGTTGTTTTTTTGTCCTTTTTAGTAGGCTACATAGTCTATTAATATTTATTCCAGTTCCCGTTTTATTTTAGTACATCAATGTAAATTAAATTAAGATGAGAAATGTTGCCATGGCAGCTAGCTGAAATATATATTTTTAAATGTTGTTTTATTTCAGTTGACATTTATCTTATTTCAAGTAACAAAAATGTTTTTTAATGGTTTTAATTTCAGTTTTAGTTAACTATAATAACCCTGTTCTGCACTGTGGCACGTCTGAGGAACGGCAGCAGTGAGCATGATGCAGTAGAAAGCTGTGTTTATTGTCTTTATTTCCCGTCTTCAGACCGGAAATGGTCTGGGTGTTTTGGCTCCAGTGTGTTTTGTGCGCATGGATGCAGTGATATGAGGTTGCAGGCTGGCACGGATGAGATCTCGGTGAAGGATGAATGCAGGAATAAAGAGAGAGAGAGTGAGAGCGTGAGGGGGATGCAGTGCACAAGGGCGGAGCTTAGCATCAGGCAATACCCCGTCTGTTTCTCTCTCTCTCTCCATCTCTGATCTCTGTGCGCTGACGCCGGTGAACACATCTGTCCGTCTCTCTCTCCGCTGCTCTCCTGTCCTGCCTTCGCCAGCGCCTCCGTCTTTCTTCTGGAATATTCTGAGCCACAGGAAGCGCAGGGAATTGTGTGTCTGATCGGCGTGTGTGTGTGTGTGTGAGGTGGCGAAACACACGCTGGTCTCGGCCGAGGGAAGGATGGTTTTGCCGGATGGTTTTGCAGCGGTTCTCATCCGAGTGCGTGTCTCCCGGGCAACCGCGCCATGAGCCGGACCAACCACGTCTCCTGCTCAATGCTCAACTGCTTCGTAAGTGTGTATGTGTGTGTGTGTGTGTGTGTGTGTGAGCGCTGCAGCTGTGGTGAAGTACTTGACGGCACGTGACTGTACAGATGTGTGTGTGTGTGGATCACACAAGTGCTGTTTCTACGGAGAAAGCGAGAGTGAGATGGTGTTTCGTCATGAAGAGAGCAGCTCCTCATGTGAACACGGCGCTCAGATGCTCGACTGGGAATATTTGTGAGCCTGGAGCACAAAAGCAGTGTTAAGTCGCTGGGGGATATTTGTAGCAATAGCCAACAATACATTGTATGGGTCAAAATTATCGATATTTCTTTTATGCCAAAAATCATTAGGATATTAAGTAAAGATCATGTTCCATGAAGATATTTTGTAAATTTCCTACCGTAAATATATCAAAACTTAATTTTTGATTAGTAATATGCATCGCTAAGAACTTCATTTGGACAACTTTAAAGATGATTTTCTCAATATTTAGATTTTTTTGCACCCTCAGATTCCAGGTTTTCAAATAGTTGTATCTCAGCCAAATATTGTCTGATCCTAACAAACCATACATCAATGGAGAGCTTATTTATTCAGCTTTCAGATGATGTATAAATCTCAATTTCAAAAAAATTGACCCTTATGACTGGTTTTGTGGTCCAGGGTCACATTTGAGCAAACGGCAGGATCTTTGATGGACAGAGAGAGAAGTTCAGAATAGTGTTAGATTAGGAATATTTAGAGGTCTTTAGTTTTATATATATATATATATAGAGAGAGAGAGAGAGATTGTGTTTATTCTGAAAGTTTGGTATTATAATAACAGAAAGTTGTTGTTAATATTTAGTATGATTGATTATATTATATTATATATTAATTAATAAAAATAAGAATTATTATTATTATCATAATTATTATTATTATGTAGAATAATATTATACTAAGTAATAAAAACATCAGTAAGCTAAATAAGAACATATTTTTATAATAATATTATATTATAATACTATAATATGCTTATTATTGTTATTGTTATTATAGTAGCATAATATTTTCGTAAATAATAGTAATGCTATTAAATAAGTATAGTAAATAATTATATTATTGTTATATTATAATAGTATAAAATTATACTAAAAATACAATAATAATAATAATAATAATTAAAAAAATAATAATTATTGTTATTATTATATAGCATAATATACAAAATGATGTTTAAAAACAACAATAAGCATAAGAAAATAGAAATAGAAAGAAAAATAATAAATGTAGTGAAAATAAATTATTTATAAATTGTATATTATAATAGTATAAAATTATTCTTGTTATTATAATAATAATTATAATATTTATTTATTATTAGTAGTACTATAGTAGCATAATATTGTAGTAAATAATAATAATGCTATTAAAAAAAAAATCGAAAATATTATATTATTTTTATAATATTATAATATTATTCTTATAATCATTGTTATATTATAATATAACATTTTGCAAAATAATTACAATAATAATAATAACAATGATTATTATTATATAGCATAACAAAAAAAATTATAAAAACTAAACATACTAATATAAATAGAAAATGTAATGAAAATAAATTATTAAAAATTGTATATTATAGCAGTATAATATTATGACTATTATAATTACTATACTATATATATATATATATTTTTTTATTATTATGTTGTTTTATATTTTATAATATATTTTATATTATATTAGTATAATATTTTGATTAGTAAAGTATGTATAATAAGAAGGAAAATATGTGATTGTTATTTATTCATTTATTTATTAGTCATCATAATGGCAACAATGTTATTAATAATAATAATGGGGTATAGTATTGTATTAGTTTTTGGTTTGATTCTCCTATTTTATTATAAACGTTATATTTTATAAACTATTACAAAATAACTATAAAAATAATATAAATAACTATAAAAGTAACAAAATGGGTTTTTAGTATGTAAAGCATTTTGTAAATTTTCCAGCAAAAATAATTATTAGGAAGTTGTTTTATGAACTAAAAAAATAACAAATAGCTATAAAAATGTTTTATGTATTTAGTATATCAAGCATTTTATTTGTTGAAATATAAAACTATATTATAAAATGACTATAAAAAGAACATATTGTTAGATCTACTCGTTATCTCATACACCTGCATCAGACTGAAGAGTGTTTATGTTTGCTCCTGCTGTGAGAGTTGTGTTCTCGCTGAGAGCAGTGAAAGGCTCTTATTGAATGAAGAATGATTTTTCCCTGCGGTGACGTCTCTCAGTATCAGATGGAGCAGTAATATGAGCTGTTGTTCATGTAAATGTTTTGCGTGTGTTTTCCCGGCATGCTGCGAGTTGTTATATGTGGAGTCCTGAACGAGAGCTCTGTCTGTCGTGAACGTCATATCCAGGAAATCATTCCAGTGTCGCTCACAGGTTGTTTGGATGTAAATATCTCATGCATAACTCTCTACTAGAGCATAGTCATAATTAACAGTGTAAACTCGTTAATTGTGCATACTATTTAATGAGTTTGATGTGCATATACTTGTGTTCTGTGTGTGTGTTTAGTGAGTTAATGAACAACGGAGACTGTTCTGTGGAAATTGTTTTGTTTCTTTTTAATGCAAGGTTTATACACATTTAAATATAAAACTATGAATAAATATAAAAATGTGTATTTTTTTATTGTAAAATTGTATTTTGATATTTACATGCATATAAGCATTGCACTATCAGGGTTAAAACCATTTAAAAAAGTCATTATTTGAAGCAAAATAATTTAAAATAAAATTAAAGTAACATTTTATTTCAGCTAGTTGCCAAAAACTTAAAGTACTTAAATAACTAAAACTAATAAATAAAAATTAATGCAATTTTATTAATAAAAATATATACCGATAATATATAAAATTAAAATATATAAAATATAATAAAAATTACAAAGCATGCAACAAAATTACAAAAATTTAACTAAAATGAAAGTGAAAACAGAAAATGGAAAATCAAACATTACTCCAAGAATATTGTTGTTTATATATATGTATATATATATATATATATGTATGTATGTATGTATATCGCTACAGTAAAATGACACCAAGTAAAGCAATAAGGCCAAGCAAAAGGTCACGTGTGTATTATTTGTTTTCTATGTTTAGGGAGTGTTATTGCCACATAAAGTGAACGTCAATAGTCAATATAATAAAAGATGCTTTGTAAATGATTAAATTGATTTAATAATCACAGTAATCATTTATTCCACCATGTAATATATTTGATTAGTCTAATGCAGGCTGATAATGTGTTTGAATCAGACTGATGTGCTTTAATGTGTCAGCATGTAAAGAGGATCTGGCTGTGGTTTGTCTGTCGGCATTGATGCGTGGTGATGCTGAGATCTCGTGCAGATCGTGTTTGATTGAAGATGAGCTGATCTTCATCATCATGCATGAGCTCAGCCTCACGTACGGCCGTGTTTCACGCGTGTTCTCGTCAGCGGTGGGCCCTGGTGATCTTTTCAAATATTCCTGCTCCTGAAATATTCATTAGCAGCGAGAGAAAGCAAGCGACTCCCATCCCACCGAAGCATTTGTTCTTCATCTCTCTTCCTCCTCACGCATCTGTTCTCATCTCCTCTCTGAGCTTTCATAGATTGTTGTAATTAGCGATGCACAGAAATTTCGGCAACTAAAAAAATTTTTTTTTTGGCTACAATCTTCAATAGAGGAGCGCTCAGTCTTCATTTTGATGAGCTGTGCTCTTTTAGTCTGTGCTGTTTTCTGTTGATGCGTGAACAAAACATCACTAAGCATTAGTGGTCGACCGATATGGGTTTTTTGACAACCGATGCCGATATCTTGGAAAGCAGGGTGGGCGATATAATTGTATTTATTTTAATTCATATTTAAGAAATTTGAAATCATTTGAAAATGGATTAAAAAATAAACCTGTAAAATAAACATACTTGTACTCTACAAGACATTAGTATTTTTCAGAAATAAATATCTAATAAAAATATAATTAAAAAGGAAGTAAACACTGTAACCAACAGAGCACTCGGTATTCTGGGAAGTTTGTGTGCATTGGGAATCATATTTTTTCAAATAAAGCCAAGGTAACACTAATTTTACATACAGCACACAGTGGAAATGACATGAATATGACAGTGCATAAAGCGCAGCATAATTTGAAATCAGTCACAAGTTTAAAGTTTGTCGATCGCGCGTCTCCAGTGAAGCTGAACTCTCCTCCTTCGCACGGACCGACCGTCACAGAACACACGATCATGCAGGTCACATGCACACTTCACAAGATCTCAACTAGATTTGACTAAGTCTGCAAGGTTTGTGAAATTAAATGTTCATTAGTCATTCAAAGATTTGTTTAAATTATATAAATGCGTATTTGCGGAATGCTGACGGGAAACAAGAAAGAATTATAATGTTTGCCTTTAATAATATTAAAGCAATCGTTATAATACTTTTTTGTATACATTTGAATTCCTTTGTTTAAAGGGGTCATATGATGCGATTTCAAGTTTTCCTTTCTCTTTGGAGTGTTACAAGCTGATTGTGCATAGATAAGATCCCTGAAGTTGCAAAGACTAAAGTCTCAAAACCAAAGAGATATTCTTTATCAAAGTT